CAACCCTGAATGCACTGTCCAGCAACTTTTGGGCACACACAGCCATTTTCTTTGAGAAACGTCATGTTTGTTAATGAATGGTACTGCCCCTTCACTCAAACAGCAGCAGTTGATCACAAAAGAAGTTTCCCGTTTTCTCACGTCCACAGGATTCTCACACCGAAATTAGTTATGATGTGTTCTGCTAAGTGGTTTTCAATGTTGTACTTTTCAAAAATATGCTCGAGTTCCACCTTGACTTAACTTGAAAGCACCTTTCACAAATCGGCTCCGAAAAGAAATTAACTGTCTTATTTTTGGCGCAGCATGGACGCAGGTGGAAGCATTCAGACATAGCTTTCCCTTGGCAGACCATTCGTCACAACTGACAGCTCACAGTCCCTAATCCCATCCCGCGTGTTCAATACCCGGAGGGCATGAAGCCTCCCGTGCCTTAGCGCGTGGTCGATATGTCGCCACCCCTCCGCCAAAAGCGGCGGAGCGGGCGTCAGCGCCGGCCACACGCGGGCCTGAGCCGAACACACAGCCGACGGTGGTGTAGGTATATATGTATTGGTGGACCACTTCCGTGCCACCCCCCGAGTGCATCGGCACGCACGGGCGCGGCAATAGCCGGAGTTCCATACCAGCAGGCCGACACACTGACAACGACGGCTATAACAATCCAAACGCTGTGGGCAGGCGGGCGCGGACGCCGGGACGACATCGCAGGATACGTAAAACCCGATCACACTCGCGTGGGGTTCGCTACACTCGGTCCTCATCCGCGGGTGACTATTGCGTAAAACACACGGCATCGCCGCGATGCTGCACGTCAGAAGCTACAACGACGCCTCCGTCACAGCCGTCAGCTTGATGCGCGTCCACTGGCTGATGCCCGCCGTGCAGTGGCCGACGGCCGACTGCCAAGTAGCGCGCACTTCCCGAGGGCGCGGACTAGTCGATACCCTCATAACCCCGGGCATGCGCCACGCCGGACCTGATAAACAATATAGGGATAACAAAGGTGGACTGCACACGTCACAGAGGTGACGTGACGTCACAGAGGTAAAATGGACAACTAGCCGCGCCCCACCGAGCCCGCCTCCATGTCAGCATCACCCACACTGGCCACTCGAGCTGACCCGCCCAGCGCGGGTGCCCACTACTGAGTAAACACGCGCCACCCAAACGCGGACGCCGTCTGCGCAACGGTTGCGCCAGCAGCCGACGCGTGAGCTGCCGGCGCGTGCGCCCACCATGCGCCCGTCAGCCGCCACTGGCCGGACGCGCCACCTGGCCACCTCCGCCGCCGAGGAGCCGGCCGGGCCGACATCACGTGACGCCGGGCCGCACGAAGCCGGACATGAGTGACTGCGGCAGCGAGCTCAGGTACTCGTCGCCGTCCGACTCCACCTGTGGCGCAAGGAGGCGTGTTGCATCTTGTTTGTGCTTGAAACGCGGACGCTTTGACAACGCTTGAAGGCTTTTCTCGCGTCTGCCAATACGCATAATGATCGGATAAAGGAAGATGACTGGCAGAAAACCCACAAATTACAGAGGGTTAAAGTCTACAGAAGGAGGGGGCGGGGGTGACACGGCGTACAGCAGTGCTGTAACATCCCCGTAGTGGGAAGGACGCTAGGCCAACATCACGCCAAATCGTATGCGGTGGGGCGATGGGAGCACAGAAGGCGCGGCGCCATGGGACTGACCGATAGTGCAAAGCGCATGCCCCATCAGCCTTGAGTGATCACGAAGGTCTAGCAACGCACGGCCTCCTTAACCTCGAGCACGGTCCGTGACCAGCCTGGCCACCCGTGAGTTCACAGTTCCACCAACAACTGGCCATTAGTGCAGAAACAAACCGTCACTGCATGTGTTGTCAACCGACAAGCAGGAACGATCTGATAACCGCCGGATGTCTCCACCACACCTTGATACATGGGGAGCTGGGTGTCGCTGGACAACTGCAGGAGCTCACCTTCACGAACGGGTGGTCTTCCAGCCGGTGGGCCTGCGCGCGCTTCTTGGGGTCGTGCACGAAGCAGAGCTCCAGGAACTGACGGCCCTCCTCCGAGAGCTTGTCGGGCAGGGACGGCGAGCCGCCCATGCCCACGCGGAACATGATCTGGTACGTGTCCTCCAGCTCAGGGAACGGCCGCTGTGGACGGTGGACTCGTCAGCACGGCGGGGCGGGCCGGCAGCTCAGCCGACCGCCCTGGCAGGCCCGGATACTGTCCACGCCGACTCAGGCTCGGCTGTGCTGTCCAGCTCAGCGCCTCAGCGAGACGACCGAGGAAACCGGCGCGCAGTGACAGCATAACGACTCATCCGACGGGCGCGTCAAACCCTGCTCTGCCGCGGACCCGGAGTACCCAACAACGAACAAGCTCTGTCTATTTCAGTCAACACACTCCCTTTGCACCTGATCGACTCATACGGCCAGCGAACGTGAAACACTGCACAGAGAGCGTCGCGCCCGACCCAGCGGCACCTCAAACGTGCGGCAGACACTGCGCTGTTCCGACAGGTCTAGAGGCACCCGGCGCGACATCAGAGACGCTGGACCAGCACACCGCGCGCCCCGGCACTCACCTTCCCCGTGGCCATCTCGACGACGCAGCAGGCCAGGGACCAGATGTCGGCGGCGCGGCCCTGGCCCTCGCCGCTCGAGCGGGTGTACACCTCGGGCGCCATGAACGCTGCAACAGCCGGCCCGTGCACGCGTCACCGGTGCAGCCGTCCTGCGGCTGGCCGCGAACACAGCCGCCGGCACGGGCTGACAGTTACTGAACACGGACCCAGACAGGGGGCGAGACGACTGGTGCAGCCGTCTTCTCTCGGTACCACCGTTCGCGGCGCGCTAGACTTACGCTGGTAGATAATGAAACACCATATAGTCTAATTTCAACACTAACTAGTTCATTGAACATTCCCTTATCCCGCGTAGACTTGCGGGTAACCTTAAGGCCACGTTGTCTTGGAGATTACCATCATCCGAATTCAGCACATTCAAAACTAATCCGAGATCAAACCACGACTTTGTAAACAGAATCGGAGTACCCTTAAAATTGTGTTTCTCCCCCTCCTCCCCCCCCCCCCCCCCCAGCCAGACAGTAGGAATCAGAATCAACCCCTCGTCTCGTACACCGGGCCCTGCATTGATTCCGATGAATCGAAACTAAACAGCAATCTGAGTCCCACCCACGCGCCAGGGATGGGACAGACAGCACACGGGGTGTACCCGGCCGTGGCGGTCCACCTCCCGGCCGGCGCCGGCGCACGTACCGGGCGTGCCGACCAGGCCCTTGACCTCGCCTTGCATGGTGGTGTGCGCCACGATCTTCACTGAGCAGCCGAAGTCGCCCAGCTTCAGGCGACGGCACTCGTCCGTCAGAAACACGTTGGCGCCTGCGGAAGGCGGGCCACGGTCAGCCGGGACGGGGGCGAAGCTGGACCTGGGGTCGGACGGGCAGAAGGCAGAGCTGCCCCGGCGGCGACGCAGGCGGGGTGGCGCCCGCTCCGATGGCCTCCGTCAGAATCTGGGTCCGCCGGCCGAACGGCATGCAAGGTGGACGAGATATTTGGAAGATGAGAAATACCCTAGGACATTATTTGCATCACCTCAGATTTTGCACCAGCTGCGCGGCCTTACACTGTCGGGGCCACATGTCAACTGCAGACATGCAGCTAACAGTGTTTCATAAACCCCCAATGTCGACCCCAAGGCTTTGACTCTGCCGTGCTTCAGAAACAAATGCTTCAAAGGAGGCTGTTAGCTGGTGGACACAAATGGCGTGCATTAGCAGGCTACAACCGACGCAAAAAAGGGTTCGATAAACAAAGCATCGGAGTAACCCGAACATCGTATTACGTAACATGCAAATTATAGGCACAGACAAGTTTACGTTGCGATGACCTCATTGCAACTGCCACTCGTCACGGTGTAAAAAACATTCCTTACAATGCCAGCAATTTGTTGTAGCCGGCAAATCCCAGCGAGTCATTAACACTCCAGCGACACATGACGAATGATGAGCATCCGGCCGTGATCCGTCAGGGCCACTGTAGCGCCTCCAACACACTGCAGATGAGTAATCCACAGCCACATGCCCGCACCAAACATCTTCATTAATATCTACCAGAAGCCAACAGCTTCGGAGGTGAGAACGCATTGGGACATCATTCACGTTTTATTACGACCTCCGCCGCCACCGCACGCGGCCTTCGCGTCCGGGCTGTAAAGTGCCAGCCAAGGGCACTCTAAGCCAGCCGCCGAGCCGCGAAACATACCGCCGACCGCCGAGCACTGAGTACCACGAGCAGAACACACCGCAATCTCACTGCCGGGCCGCCGACTCGCTGACGAGGGCCGGGGCTCGCGCGCGGAGCGCGAGGGGGGGGGGGGGCGCCAGGGGGCGGGAGTGGCGCAGCTGTCGCCGCACCCATCAGGAGAGACCGCCGACCAGGGGGGGGGGGGCGCAGCTGTCGTCGCGGGGGGGGCGCCAGGGGGCGGGAGTGGCGCAGCTGTCGTCGCGGGAGGGGGGGGGGGGTGTCAGGGGACGGGAGTGAGGGGGGGGAGCCAGCAGGCGGGAGAAGCGCAGATATCGTCGCACCCATCAGGCGAGACGGGCGACCAGGGGGGGGGGGGGGGCGCAGGGGGCGGGAGTGGCGCAGCTGTCATCGCACCCATCAATCGAGACGACCGACCAGGGGGGGGGGGGGGGGCGCCAGGGGGCGGGAGTGGCGCAGCTGTCGTCGCACCCATCAGGCGAGACGGCTGACCAGGCCGAGGAATTCAGCCCGTGGCGCCGGCCCGACCTGTCGCCGAACGGGCGCGCTGACTCACCGGCCATCGCAGCGCCGCTACTTTGGCCCGAAAACGGCCGGCCAAACAGGCATCGCTCATTCCGCTCGCCGACACATAGCGCGCTTGTGTAAACAGCGACGGCTGGCCCGCTCGAGTGATGAAGCCGGCGCTGACTTATCGCGCAGAAAAACGCCCACAACGCGGCGGCCGGTTACCAGGCCGGGTGAGGCGGATGTGACCGCCGGCGGGCGACAGGGGTGGAGGAGGCGGCTCCCAGAGGCGTCATACATTGGCCAGAGCACCGAGATCACTCGGTGGCTGTTCTTCCCGCAAAAACGCCCGCGGTACAGCGAGCACAGGGTGGTGATTATTGCCCGCTTCAACATGCAAGATGGTTTATAAGCACAACATTCAGAAGCTGAGCAAACACATGGGAGGTTTACGACAGGGGAAACTGCATAAACATGGCTGCTCAACGACATTTTTGCCATTGAACAGAGTCGTGCAGAGGAGGGCGAGGAATGTCTGTAACGCATCACACAGCGTGCACTGGTTCCGGAGCAGCGCCCCTGCCAAGCACTAAGCGCGATCGCGGAAGGATTAGTAAACGTCGATCCCAGGGGACCGTCGGCGACGGCGCCGCAACCTCCACGGTTGGCAGCGTGCTGCGGTGTCGCGCCCGGACCGCGTTGTAGCGCGTCACACACGTCAGCCGAGCTCTCGGGGACTCCGTCACCCAAGCACGTGTCAATCAGCGCCAGCCATGCGCGCGGCGCCTCCGCAAAGGTCCTCGGTCAATGCCGGGCCGACGGGTTCAGCGAGACGGGTCGCCGCTTGTCAGCGGGCCCGTTCGAGCGACCTTGCACGCTTGCGTGCACGAGGTCACCGCGTAGAAACCTCCCGATGACTTCACACTCTCCGAGTCGCCTGGCATGTGCAAGAGGCTCCACTTCGGCCGCCCTGCCGCGGCCCGGCCGCCTACGGCAGCGCGGCGGAGCCCGGCCGCCGGGCGTCACGTGACCTGCGGTGGTGGGCGGCGCCGGCGGCCGGCGGCCGGCGGTCCGCACGTGCCCGACGGTGGGCGTCGCGTCCGCCGCCACGCCGTCCATGATGGACGGCCGGCCGCTATTAGCCGGGCCATCGGCGCGGCCCCGGCATCGCTCACAGATCTGTTGAAGCCCAATTTCTTTGCCGGCATACCAGTGGCGACGCGGCCCGGAAATAGCCGCCAAGTGGCGGCGGCCGGGTGCGCTATATGCGGCCGGCGCGGCGGCGGCGTGTGTCGGTCGGGGGCGCCGGCGCTGGCGCGTGAGCTCGCGGCCGCCGCCGGCAGCCCGTGCATCAGCCCGGCGTCACAATAAGGCCGGGTCAGCGGAGGTCGGCGGCAGGCCACGACTGACATCGGCCGCAACACGGCACGCCGCCGCCCGGGCACGGGGCCTCCACCCCACAGCAGGGCACGCCAACCGGCCAGAGGCGACCACGTGCCGCGCCTCGGGGTGTCTCCGTCGGAACAGGGGGCGACCACGTGCCGGGCCTCGGAGCGTCTCCATCGGAACAGGGGCGACCACGTGTCGGGCCTCGGGGTATCTCCATCGGAGCAGGGGCGACCACGTGCCGGGCCTCGGGGTGTCTCCGTCGGTCGGAACAGGGCGAGCACGGGCCGGGCCTCGGGTGTCTCCATCGGAACAGAGGCGACCACGTGCCGGGCCTCAGAGTGTCTCCGTCGGAACAGGGGCGGCCACGTGCCGGGCCTCGGAGTGTCTCCATCGGAACAGAGGCGACCACATGCCGGGCCTCAGAGTGTCTCCGTCGGAACAGGGGCGAACACGGGTCGACCTCGGTTTAGCCTTCACCGTAACTCGACTCTGGAGGTAAACACGTCTCCTGCGAATGCTCTGCATCGAGAAGTGACCCGGCAACAGCAGAACATCGATAACACCGGCGGTCGCTGGCAGGCAGTCGATGATTCGTCGCTAAGTAATGGCGACGGAGAGGACATTCTAAGTGCATGCTACAGATCATCAGCTATTGCAAAAGAACGCCAAATGCTACAAAGACATCTTACGCCCAGACACATATGAACGGTAGAAAACTTTAATAACAGCGAGCGAGAAAATATTTCGGAAACACCGTCATCTATCTTTCTGGTGGCTTGAGGTGCATCGCAACATTCGATACTTAGCATGCTAATGGTTCAACTGATTGGTGATTAATAAATTTCCCGTGTGTACTAATGTGCTGGCGGGCACAGCCGCAAATAACGCCCTACATCTATGACCGCCCATTCGTATGGCGGGTGTTACTATCTTGATATCAATGCATTGCGTATATGGTGAGAGCGGTAGAAAGTAGTGCGATGGAGATGAACAATGACCCTGCTGCTGTGGTGGATGGTGTGACGGGAGTGTACACTAGAGTGTACTAGAATAACACTTCTTGGAAAACTACGTGCTCAGGGCTTGTCTGGTTCTCAGCTTCCAGGCGAGTTCATTGGTGCGATTTTTGTTGAAATTCATGCATGTGTAGGGATGCGTGCAGAGGGCTTAAAGTTCAACAGTTCTCAACTATTTTCGCTTTAAGGGGACCAGCCAGACATAAGCATCCAGTTGGTGGGTCACTTCTGCCAAAGGGAATATGTGAAGGGGGAAGCAGCAATGCTTAAAACCGGAAATATTTCAAGCTGCGTCGAAATGGGCATGAAACAAATCTTTGCGATCATAATGGCTCGATGGTGTGTGTGTGTGTGTGTGTGTGTGTGTGTGTGTGTGTGTGTGTGTGTGTGTGTGTGTGTGTGTGTGTGTGTGTGTGTGTGTGTGTGTGTGTGTGTGTGTGTGTGGTGTGCGTGTGCGTGTGCGTGTGCGTGTGCGTGTGCGTGTGCGTGTGCGTGTGCGTGTGCGTGTGCGTGTGCGTGTGCGTGTGCGTGTGCGTGTGCGTGCGTGTGCGTGCGTGCGTGCGTGCGTGCGTGGGTGCGTGTAGGGGCAGATATGATCCCTTTTTAACATCTTTCATGACTTTAGCCGTTCAGTTCCCTGTTCGACCTCGACGAACAGAACAGAAAATGTCAAGCTATATGAAATAGTATTGCACGTGCCAAGCAGATCTTTATGTTACATCGTTACTCAGTAGAATGAACGCAATAAACACAGAGTGTACATCGGTACACTTCAAAGTGTGTCCGGTGCACAGTTTTGAAATGTGCTCATCTTCCACCGGCGGACTCTCACCTCTTGCAGAAGTCACTGCAAATGATCCCTGTCACCAGCTAAAATGGCTATGAAGTTCTCAATCATTTGCATATCTCTCTGGTAAATCTTTTATAACGTTTGGCCACCGGTCAAAAGCATGATAAAACGGGTAGCCGTGGTCGGTTTACAATGCAGCGGTTGGCTTGCTTAGCCACCGCCCCATACTGTTATGAATAAGTTGGAAAATTAGCCAAGAGAACTCATCTCCCAACTCCAACAACGCTTGCTCTCGAGTTGGTGAGTGGTGTAGCATTTTCAAACGCATTCATCATCGGTGTGGACGACAGCGTCAAAGCTACGGCTGCTTTCTTCATTATCGCTGATGTCACCCGGAATCAGACAGAACTACCGTTCCGAGCCTCAAATGGAGACGCAACCCGGCCAACGCTGCTCAGGCCGCGGGCCTGTCAACCGGGCGGTGGTGCAGCAGGTCCTGGTTAGGTTTCAAGTCACTCCTAGGGGCGTCAGCCGGCACCGGTTGCAGACAGTCATGCGGGTACACCGTCCGCTGATGCCCTTAAGGCAGACCTGAAGCTGTACCAAGCCCTGTGCACTACCAGACGGTAAACAGTCCCGTGGTAGGAGCACCGTCTGCTGATGCCTTTAGGGCGGAGCTGAAGCTGTACCAAGCCCTGCGCACTACCGGGCGGTTAACAGTCCCGTGGTAGGAGCACCGTCGGCTGCCATGTGTCACCACGTGACCTTTTGGAGTTCTGCCTGGTTTCGGGTGGTGACCGCGATAATAAAAAGGTAGCCATGGCTTCGACGCTGTTGTCTGGCCACCGACGACCGACCGTCAACGACGTGTGACCGACGCTATTGCCATTCACCAGTGCCGAATTATTTTGAGGACGTTGCGCCACTGGTCAACTGGAACACTCGATTGCCAGATATGGTAGATGAATCCCCTTGGCTGGTATTCCAGCTTATTCAGATCGATGTTAGTCGGTGAGTAAGCTGGTGTTAGCCGATGTTAGCCGGTGGCTAAATTGACCAACGGGAAGCGAACGACCGTCGTTCGCTTCACAGTGATTTTGGGCGACGCACAACGGTTTCTAGTGCCGTTGCTGAGAAATGTGTGCCAATGACTGAGATTGAGATCGCAGGCACCGTAGCCGGTGACCAGGATCAGCTGCAGTAGCTTCTGCAGGATGCGGAAGCCCACCGCTAAAAGGTCACCAGTTCTGATAAGCAAGCGCCGGACACAGTTCGATGCGTGGCGACATACAGCTTGTGTTCATAACAAGCATTTAACGGAGTAACGATGCAACGCTAAAGTTTGTCTGGCACACATAGTTTTAGTTACCTTGGCTTGCCATTTCATTTTCTGTTGGTCGAGGTCACACAGAGGATTTTCTGTTGGTCGAGGTCACACAGAGAGGTCAGTGACTTTAGATATTTTTACCCCTCTATCCTCTGTTCGAAGATTTTTAGAAAAAAACGTCCATGTCGACGTTAATGTCCTTTTTGCAGCGCCCCCAGGCCCCATATGGGCAAACATTTGTTTATACTTACGAACTCTGAGCTTTTTGCGCACCCCTCAAACATACATGAACGTTGATGAAATGGCACTACTGAACTCGCCCTGAACCGAAGAACTAGACAAGCACTGAGCACCCATACTCCTTCGAAAGGGTGTGATTTCGAGACACCCTGGCGTACAATGACCCCGATGTCGCGGTGAAAGGTGTGACGAGAGTGGACACTGACCCTTGATGTCGCGGTGGATGATGTGGTGGGAGTGGACACTGACCCTTGATGTCGCGGTGGACGATTTGACGAGAGTGGACACTGACCCTCGATACCGCGGTGGATGATGTGGTGGGAGTGGACTGACCCTTGATGTCGCCGTGGACAATGTAACGGGGGTGGACACTGACCCTTGGTGTCGCGGTGGATGATGTGGTGGGAGTGGACACTGACCCTTGATGTCGCGGTGGATGATGTGGTGGGAGTGGACACTGACCCTTGGTGTCGTGGTGGATGATATGGTGGGAGTGGACACTGACCCTTGATGTCGCGGTGGACGGTGTGACGAGAGTGGACACTGACCCTTGGTGTCGCGGTGGATGATGTGGTGGGAGTGGACACTGACCCTTGATGTCGGGGTGGACGGTGTGACCGGAGTGGACACTGACCCTTGATGTCGCGGTGGATGATGTGGTGGGAGTGGACACTGACCCTTGATGTCGCGGTGGACGGTGTGACGAGAGTGGACACTGACCCTTGATGTCGCGGTGGACGGTGTGACGAGAGTGGACACTGACCCTTGGTGTCGCGGTGGATGATGTGGTGGGAGTGGACACTGACCCTTGATGTCGGGGTGGACGGTGTGACTGGAGTGGACACTGACCCTTGATGTCGCGATGGATGATGTGGTGGGAATGGACACTTACCCTTGATGTCGCGGTGGATGATGTAGTGGGAGTGGACACTGACCCTTGATGTCGCGGTGGATGATGTGGTGGGAGTGGACACTGACCCTTGGTGTCGCGGTGGATGATGTGGTGGGAGTGGACACTGACCCTAGATGTCGCGGTGGATGATGTGGTGGGAGTGGACACTGACCCTTGATGTCGCGGTGGATGATGTGGTGGGAGTGGACACTGACCCTTGGTGTCGCGGTGGATGATGTGGTGGGAGTGGACACTGACCCTTGATGTTGCGGTGGACGGTGTGACCGGAGTGGACACTGACCCTTGATGTCGTGGTGGATGATGTGGTGGGAGTGGACACTGACCCTTGATGTCGCGGTGGACGGTGTGACGAGAGTAGACACTGACCCTTGATGTCGCGGTGGATGATGTGGTGGGAGTGGACACTGACCCTTGGTGTCGGGGTGGATGATGTGGTGGGGGTGGACACTGACCCTTGATGTCGCGGTGGATGATGTGGTGGGAGTGGAGGCAGCTGACGGCCGACAGCAGCTGCTTGGTGTAGCGTCGGATCAGGTGCTCTGGCAGTCCGGACTCCACCGAGGCCGACAGGCTCTCCAGCGTGCCCTCGCCGCAAAACTCCATGAAGATGAACATCTCCTCCTGTCAGCAGGCGGGCGGTGTTGATAAACACGCCTGTCCGGCGACGGTCGCCGGCGCCCGCCAGCTGGCGGGGTGACTGCCGAGCGTCTCCGGGCCGGCGGGGGGCCAGCCATGCCCGACCCACGCACACGTCACCCCCGGCTGGCCGAACACGACACGCTCCACTCCGGCGATGCGCCCCACCCACACAGCCCGCGCCGCAGCTGTCTGGCGGCTGGCCGGCCGGCGCGCCAGCGGAGATGCCCTCCTCTCCTCTGACAGCAGCGCGGGTCAGGCGAGCCTCGACCGTTCTTCAACTGTTGAAGAACAGAGAGAGCGTCTGGATGCGCACGGCCGGTGATTCATGGCATGCCACGAACGGATGGCTGGCATACGCACCAACGTGATGACGTCCGGCATCACGCTGGGGATAATAATGGATAGTATTGTTTAGATGCTTCTTCGAATTGTGGCAAAAGGGGATGGCCCGCGTAGGTCCTGATGTCGCCGATTACTTATTATATGCAGATAGGCGCCACAAATGACCTGGGTACCAATGCCATCATTAAGCGTCCAGACCGACATGAGATATCATCACAGTATTCCAAGCCCAGCGCAAGGCTAACAGCCTTCTCATCATTCCCCATCCAATATAAACAAACTGCAGACGACATATCAGCATATAACACAGCATCCTTGGCTGAGTGGCTGCCCACTAACGAGAGGCGCCAAGCTTTCAACCCCATTTAAAGTGTTTCGGAAATAAACCACGCCAGGAGCGCGGCGACAGGAAACACCTGTATATGTGGGCCCGGGGCTGCCAGCGTAAACGGCGCTGTGTGGTCCTCATTAGATCGATAGTGCGCCATAAACACGGGCCGCCGGTGCAGGTCCGGCGCCCGGAGCGAGCGGTCAGCGCCGGCCAGCAGCCGGCACCGATCCCGAGCAGGGCTCGGCTTCCGGCCGCCGCCTCGCCGCCTCGGCTCGGCTCAGCCCGCCCATTCTCCCGGGAGCCACATCGCGAGGTCCACCGGGGCCGCAGCTGGAGCGGTGCCGTCGACGACGCTGGCCGCGCCGCCCACCGGCACGCGGCACTGTTCAGCGGCGGCTCCGGACACGCGAGACGGACATGTAAACGGGACACCAAACGCGGTGTCCCGTTCACATGTCCGTTCACATGACACACCGGACGCGGGACACCAAACTTACATGTGTGGTGCTCGCGTTCTGGCGTCGTAATCAGCTGACATCAACACATGGACCAGATCAGCATGCACACGATACGCCAAGGCCGCCAGCCAGCCGGAGGCCTTAAGCGGGCCGGCGACGCCCACGGCATACTAATCCGCACCTCGGCATACTAATCCGCTCATCGGCATAATGATCCGCTCCTCGTTATACTAATCTACTCCTGTGCATACTAATCCGCTCCTCGGCATACTAATCCGCTCCTCGCCATACTGATCCGCCCCTCGTCATGCTAATCTACTCCTCGTTACACTAATCCGCTCCTTGACATCCTAATCCGCTCCTCGGCATACTGATCCGCCCCTCGGCACACTAATCCGCTCCTCGGCATACTAATCCGCTCCTCGGCATACTGATCCGCTCCTCGGCATACTGATCAGCTCCTCGGCACACTAATCCGCTCCTCGGCACACTAATCCGCTCCTCGGCATACTGATTTGTTCCTCGTTATACTAAACCGCTCCTTGACATACTAATCCGCTCCTCGGCATACTGATCCGCTCCTCGTCATACTTATATACTCCTCGTTATACTAATCTACTCCTCGGCATACTGATCCGCTTATCGTCATACTAATCTACTCCTCGTTATACTTATCTGCTCCTCTGCATACTAATCTACTCCTCGGCACACTGATCCGCTACTCGTCATATTAATGTACTCCTCGTTATACTAATCCGCCCTTTGGCATACTAATCCGCTCCTCGGCATACTAATTCGTTCCTCGGCGTACTAATTCGTTCCTCGGCATGCATGCAGCATGATGTGAAACGAGCCAGTGGACGACTGGACTTCGCCCACGCACCCCGTGTGTCTACTCCCCTAATCCAATTAAAGCACTCACAAAGACAAACGAGTCACTGATGACGTCGCAGGCACGCGGCAGGCACGCCCATCGTAGCAGAATTGTACAACTGTGGCAAACACAACGTTGCTCTAGCTCAGCATACAGACATTCGTGACCACGCTCGAAGCGGCCGGTACCGCAGAACGTCTCTGGCGGCTTTCACTGACCCTGTGAATTTCAACGCCGTAGTATTTGACGAGGTGCTTGTGGTTGATGCCCTCGAGGATCTTGAGCTCCTCAGCCACGGAGCGGATCGTCTTGTGGTCGTTGGGCTGCAGGTGGATCTCCTTCATGGCCATCAGGTCGCCGGTCTTGTTGTTGACGGCCGTGTACACGCGTCCGAAGCGACCCTGGCCTGCCGGGGGACGGGCGGACCGGGCGAGTGGCGCGATCCGCACACGGGACGGCCTGGCGCCGCAGCACGACATGACACGGGACGGCACGGGACGACACGGCCCGGCTGTGACACGTAATACCATGCGCCGTTCGGGATCATGGCACCGCGGTTAAGTCTTTACGGGCTATCAGGGAGGGCCTAAAATAGGTAAGAAAGATGGCAATTAAGAAACAACGAATAGACGCAGTAAATCGATTTCCGCATCAGCGAGCCAAAGCTGCTGTCATTCACCACCCAACAACGACGGAAAGATCTGAATTGCTTGGCTGCAGAATCCTGATGGCAGACGTTTTTTTGATGATGACTGCGTATGCATTTCCAATATATATATTTTTTAAAACATGGGGACTGGATCCCGGTTTGGCTGAAGCTTTTCTGTTCTTGCGTTGCAATTCAGGCCGGTTTGTAATCTTGCTTCCGTTGGGAACATCCACACTGGATATTTTCGATCGTTTTCATCTTTAACGGAGCAGCTGACAGGTAATTTTGTTGCCACCGAAATACCAAACAGGCACTCAATCTGGGGACCCAAATGCATGACTTATGGTTGACAGTTTATTTACCATCCCCACGTCTTGCATTTATAAAAAGGGTTACTCTCGTCCAATCAGGCATCCGACGACTGATAACCGGTAGACCGAGCTCGCGGCTACTCTCGCATCCACTCAGTGCCAAAGAGGGTCTCGAGTAATTCTGTAGTAAAGTCAAAGGCTTTGAAACAGTCGGGGCGCAGCGCATGGATGGCGGAAGACTTGACGACCAGAGACACCTCCCGCTCCTACATCCTGACCATCACGCGAAGGTAAGGCTCATGAAGTCTGGGGGACCCTTAGAACAAAACCTTTTGCAGACGACATAACAGAATAGATAATGCGCGAATACGTGCTATCAACAAGCTCTTTCAATTCACCCACAATGCTTGCCAAGGATTTCAGAAAGAATTGCACTGTGGAGCAGAATTAACATTCTCTAGAAGGTTCAAGGACCGAAACTGCAGCACTTATCATACGGACAGCCTACTGACTGGAATGTATTCATCAACGAAAATTTAACCCATCTCCGCTGCTCGAGCACCAAATATGTGTTGTTTTCTGGTCAGCTGAGAGTAGCTGTGACGAGCACACCTAGGTCGATGCCCCTTAATAAATCGTCTAGCGAGAGGTGGCCGGTCGTGGAGCCAAACTGGTGACCAACAGGAGCCAAATGATTCACGGCAGCAGAAATAGGCCAATCCATCACAACCACGGCCAAAAATAAATACTCGCGACGGCACGTGTCCACCATCCCCGGTCACCACGCGGTCCCATCAAAATCGCAACAACATTCGAAATGCGCCGCCTGGGCCTCCAGGGGTAGTCACCGCCTCGATCACGCCGTAAGTTGACAACCCCATCTGTCAACGAACAACGGCCACCCCCGCCGACACCCACGCCACGCCGCCGCGACCCGGCGCACTAGGCAGCCGCCCGGCTCGCCGCTGCACGGCGCCGGCGCCTCAGCTCGCGCCCGCCGCGCCTGTGGCTCACGTGACGCGGCGTGACGTGACGTGACGGCCGCGACATGACGCCCGGCACGCTGCGAGGCGGCGGGCGTGGACGCGCGACGCCGGCGGCGACGGAGTGGCGGGCGCCGTCGGCCGCGTATACAGCGCTATCTGGCCGCGTGCCGGGCCCGGCGGGGGGCGCCGGCGCCGCCGGAGGCCCCCCTCGGCTGTCGCTGCTGTCCTCGGCCGTTGTAAAGCTGGCGTGAGGGCTGCGCCATCGTGCCGACGGCGATGGGGCCATCCAAGCCGGTTCAGCAGCGCCCAGGGTCTGGCCGTCGCAATCAAGTGCTTGTTGGTCTGCTCAGATACGCCGGCACGTAGCGGGCGTCTACCGGCATCAATTGGATCATCCGGTACGTTAAACTGGTGCGTATTCGGATACAGAGACGATTTTCCATTGCAGAGTTATTTCCGGGCAAATAGAAACTGGATTGCTTCCTGCGCAGCGAAGGAAGTGAGGTTTCCAGTCAGGCGCGTTAACAATCACGCATCGTGTAGGCACATCAATCCCGAAGGTTCACCTCGTAGAGTGGAGAAGCGGTGTGGACCACACGACAGAGAGACGGGTGGACCGCGACCGTGGGCGCGAGCCGCCGCCACGGCCGCGGCGCGAGCCGTGCAACTCAGTGACCTCGGGCCATGCGCGGCAAGTTCGGTGGTGGCGGCGGCGGCGGCATGTCCGCCGCTTCCGCCGCCGCCGCCGCCGCCGCCGCCGCCGTCGCCAGGAATGCTGCACGGCCGGGCCGACGCGCGATACGGTATCGGCCCGGCAGCCGACCGGTGCCCTGGGGAGCGACCGGTAAACAGAGCGCGGCGCCCGGCGGAAGGGTCGAGTCTGGGCGGCGCGCCGCGCGGCGGACGTGCCGACCGTGACGACGACGGCGGCGGCGGCGGCGGCGGCCGGCGACACTGAGACGGCAGCGTCGGTGCATGTGTGAACTGACGCCACGGACTCGCCGATGCCGCGGAAGGGACACGAGGGGGTTTACGGAAGAAAATTGGAAGGGGCGCGGGTATCACGGATGGAATCATTGTTCGGACTATCGCCCTTGTCTGGTTTATTAGCATGCTCACAACGTTTCGGCTTAATAACTCCGGCCCATGTCAGGCGTTATTGAGTTCTGGGAATGGCTGGACGATGTTCAGGTTTCAGCCATGTACACGTCACAGTCCGAATAATCTCTTCGACATTGTTGAGACTGGAACCAGGATTTTCTAATTATGAGTGCAGTGTTCTACCACCTGAGCTAACCAGGAAGGACCTTCGTTCATTCCTTTCTTTCCTTCAGGTTAGCTCAGTTGGTAGAGTACTGGACTCACCATTGGAAGATTCCGCTTCCAAGCCCAGCAACCGCAAGAAGATAATTTTGACTGTGCCGTGTACACGGCTGAAAGCCAAACATCATCCAGTCCTTCACAGGATTCAATCCCACCCGCCGTAGGCCGGAGGGCTTACTGACCGAAACGATGTATACATACTAACACAGCAGACGAGGAAGGTTGTCCGAACAATTACTCCATCGGAGATACACTGTTACCTGTCGATGACAGAGGGTGTAAGCTTCATGCTTGGATCTCATAGCAGACTCTAAACACGAGCGACGTCGACGACGTGAACGCCAGCACTGACGCCAGGCTATCACACAGAAGGCAGCAGGTGCACGCCCGGGTCCATCTAATCACTCTAAAACCCCAAAGCCGCGCGCGAGAGTGATACAAGAGCAAGTACCATTCTGACACGTCGCACCGCTCACGACCTGGAGTCCGTCGTCGTCGTCATTGGGGCTTTACGACGCACTTAGCTGCTGGGGCTATGTGGCGCCGCCTGCCTGGCAGGAAGGGTGGGCACCGAGGGGAATCGAACCCCGTACCTCTGGTTTCCCAGACTTGGAGTTCTCCGAGCCAGCCTCTGCTGGTGACACAGTCGGGGATGCCAGGCTCCCTCCATTGGGACAGCTCGTCTGTGTAGTCTGACGTCGCAAGTCTGGCTCGGTCGAGACCACCCGCGTCCAGCGGGGACAGCCGCCGGAACAAACTCCACTTGGATCGCAGTTCTCGCACGGGTCACTGCTACTTCCGAACGTACAGATGTCATAAATCCAGCAAGCGGCCGCCAAATACCGACATGGTATCAGCAGGATCAAGCGACATGTCGCGACAGCTCACGAGCTCAGTGCTGAAACTGTTGGCAAGCTGTCGTCCACTTGGTGAGCACGGCAACCCACGAGCCGAACGATGACATGACGCCGACACCAGGCTGTCACCCAGGGGTCAGCAGGTGCACACGGCTCGGATGGCAATTCATAAACGCTGACACACTGTGGCCGTCATTTCGGAAGCCCTAATTTGTACAGAATCTTACTATAGCAATGAAGTGATGTTATGACTAATCTGGCAAAATAAAGAGAGAAAGAACACTGACGGCAGAGGTGCTGACCATTGTACGGCGAAGTTATGCGAGGTGTCAAATGCAAACACGCCCGGGGGCGTGCGCTTAAACCACCAACGATCAATGGTGGAGTAATGGCCGACGACCAAAACCTCGAGCATCAAGTCATCTAATTCTGAAGATTGGTAGAAGTCACGGACAACGCCTAATGCTCAATAAGCTCATCGCCTGATGGGATTCTCCCAGAGCCCGCTGGAAGATGGGATCCAGCGAGCTTGTGGACCTTCCGGGCTGATGGCTCGTGAGCCGTGTGGTGGAGGTAGCTCCTTGAAGGGCCGGGCTGCTGCTCGGAGGCGGCAGGGTCGCGAGGCCTTCAGCATCTCGCGGCGCTCGCCGGGGGCGGCGTGTTGGACAGCTCAGCGGCGGTGCATGGTGACGACAGCGAAGCGCCCCCGATGGTCTACCGGCAAAATACCCAGTACCACTCGGCCGCGGACAAAAACGCTCCTCGCCTGGCAAAGAAGACCCTTTGCCGGGGCTTTCCAGCCAGCATAGCTGGCGCTCGGACCCGCGCATGCCGAGGAGATCGCCGCGGACGCCGTGTGTCGGCGATCAGCCAGCCTCCCAGATGTCCACGGCATCCCATCCTCACGCTCCGCGCTGGCAGCCGGTCGCGGCTGAAGACCCCGTGGCCTCGTGCGGCCGTCACGACCCGTAACATGAGGTCGGTCCGTCTCAGCTCTGGAATCCATGTGATCTGTCAAATGCCAGTGTTGATTTGGCAGCGAGTGTTGATTTCCACCCGCAGCGCCACTCCTCGTCTGGCTTTCAGAAGCGCGTCTCGCTCGCGAGTTGCGTATACGTGACGAGACAAGATAAGGAGATCTTTGCAAGAACGCTGATCGCAAAGCCATCCCTGGAACATCGGCCGACGCCGCTCATCCACGGAAAATTATCCTTTAAGGGAGGCACAGTAAAGGTGGCGGCCCCCGGCTAAGAGCACGAGCCCACCCGGGGGCTACCAAT